TCGAAATTAGAAGAAAAATGCACTATTTTTAATTATAGGAAATGCGTTTTTCTAAACATAAACTTTTGCGATTGACTGTATAGCCATAATACATCTTTGATCGGTCAATACGTCATGCGTCTTAAAAGAAAATATTATACGCACAGTCCTATGCAAGCCTTACCGCACTTCCAAATGTGAATACGCGTAAACAAATGAAAACGATAATAAAACATGTGAACCTGTAATAAATTAATTTATCAGATATTCGTACACCAAAACGATTGAAGACTTGAAGTAACGATGGAAAGCGTAAAAAAACGGCTTGTTAACGTTTGATGAACGACTTGTATTGACACGGATGAAATAATGGTGATGCGACAATAAATTCGGTTCGAAATTGGTCGATCGCAGGTGTTTTCACAGGTGCGATACCCTGTCGCCAGGAATGACCGTGCACGCGGCGCAGGTGAGATCTCATCGAGGAAAAGTCGAATAAAATCGATCTCGATTCTCCTCAGGCTAACGCGTTCGTATCTAGCCGGTGCTTATCGTTTCATCATCTACGGTGCCACTCTTTGATACCAATAAAGATTTCGGGTTCGATTAAGCCCGCCCGTAAGTAGACTCGTATTTTATTAAAAACGTTTCATTTTGTCTCCCGCGCGAAGGAGATGCAGCCCGGGAGATTATCTTCCGGGGCAATTGAAATTTGAAATTCAAAGTCTTATACGCGGGGCGACGCCGCGACGCGCGGGCCATCTGCTGTGTTATGAAATATGATTGTCATACTTTTTCTGGGTCGAGCGTACCTCTCGGTATATCTCGATGCTATAAATTTTTTTCGTACTTCAACCCCGTAGGATTAATTTTTCACGTCCGTCCCGTCCGAAGTAATGAAAGAAAAATTCGCATCCATCGACACGGATAAAAATGCTAACTAATGTCAGTTCTTCTGTGCAGTAAAACCTCTGCGTTACGCTGAACAATTTGCGTAAGCGTCGTACATATTCATTAATTTGATATCGAGGCCTTTTTCTGCCTCTCCGTTAAAAGCATAATCGAATACCTTCGATATCGATCGCAATCATAATAATTCCCGGATCCGTTTCACCTACGTATATTTCAATCCTCTACATGGCAGAGCCGCGGTACTTACGCGAATACCAAGGAGGTTCGCCGGGCACCGACAAACGGCAGCAACGAGTAACGACGACAACTGCAACGAATCGAGTCGGTCGCGGCCATTTTCCACCTGCCAGTAGATTTCTATTTCTAACAGGCCCCGCAGAGAACGACAATTATTATTCTCCGCGGATCCTCCGGGTTATCG